TGTAAAAAAGATGCTGAGACTCTAGAAAGAGTACAGAGAAGAGCAACAAAGATGATTAGGGGACTGGAGGCTAAAACATATAATGAACGGTTGCTGGAATTGGGTATGTCTAGTTTAACGAACAGAAGGATGAGGGGGGACATGATAGCAGTGTTCCAATATCTCAGGGGCTGCCCCAAAGAAGAGGGAGTCAAGCTATTCTCCAAGGCACCTAAAGGCAGGACGAGAAGCAACGGGTGGAAACTGATCAAGGAGAGAAGCAACTTAGAACTAAGGAGAAACTTCCTGACAGTTAGAACAATTAACCAGTGGAACAACCTGCCTCCAGAAGTGGTGAATGCTCCAACACTGGAAGTTTTTAAGAAGAGACGGGACAGCCGTTTGTCTGAAATGGTGTAGGGTTCCTGCCTGAGCAGGGGGTTGGACTCGATGACCTCCAAGGTCCCTTCCAACTTTATTATTATTATTATTATTATTATTATTATTATTATTATTATTATTATTATTATTATTATTATTATTATTATTATTATTATTATTATTATTAAGACGCCTGCCTGCCCGCCCAGCGATGCTCTTCCTCCTGTCCGAGGTTTTCATTGTTGTGAGCATTTCTGTTGAGGATTGGCAGCGGGGGTGGGATGGGTTTTTTTTATTCCCCCTATCTGCTGGGTGGTTGCAGCAGGTTTTGGTCACTTCACATGACCCTGGGACACTGTGACCGTCATAAATATGAATCAGTTGCCAAGCATCTGAATGTAAATCACAAGACCCTGGAGAGGCTGCAACATTCCAGCTGATCGGCGCTTCTTCTGGGCTCAGCAGAAGCACCAGGATCAGCGCCGAGCTCCAGCTGGAGCCTGGCGGTGATCCTGGCGCTTCCACTGAGCCATGACAGTCCCGAAGAAGCACTGATCAGCTGGAAAGCGGCACTGATCCTGGCGCTTCCGCTGAGCCCTGACAGCCCTGCAGCTCTAGCCGTCTCTCGCTCAGGCTTGTGCGGTGCTGCCACCGGTTCAGCTCATTCCCCTCTCCCGCTACCACTTTTCTAGGATGGTCGCGTACCACCTGCCAGGTGCCCATGTACCACAGGGGGTACCCGTACCACTGGTTGAAAAGCCCTGCTCTAGAAAGAATGCAAAGAAGAGCAATAAAGATTATTAGGGGACTGGAGGCTAAAGCATATAAGGAAAGACTGATGGAATTGGGAATGTCTAGTTTAATGAAGAGAACGACGAGGGGGGACATGATAGCAGTATTCCAATATCTCAGGGGTTGCCCACAAAGAAGAGGGAGTCAAGCTATTCTCCAAAGCACCTGAAGGCAGGACAAGAAGCAACGGATGGAAACTAACCAAGGAGAGAAGCAACCTGGAACTAAGGAGAAACTTCCTGACAGTGAGAACAATTAACCAGTGGAACAACCTGCCTCCAGAAGCTGTGGATGCTCCAACACTGGAAGTGTTTAAGAAGAGACTAGACAGCCATTTGTCCGAAATGGTATAGGGTTTCCTGCCTGAGCAGGGGGTTGGACTAGATGACCTCCAAGGTACCTTCCAACTTTATTATTATTATTATTATTATTAACAATAATAATATGAATTTGAAAATTAACGTATCAAAGACTCAGATAATCACTGCTTGATGAGGAAAAATGGGCAAACAGTTGCAAGTTATATGCAGGTAGTTAATCACTAGAACAAGCAGAGACAGACAGCTGTGTTCTGGTTAAAGCTCTGGCGCAGAAACTGGGAGATGCTGGGTCCTGGTCCTGCCTTAGGCACAAAGCCAGCTGGGGGCCAGCCACTATCTCTCAGCCCTAGGAAGGAGGCAATGGCAAACCACTTCCGAAAAACCTTCCCAAGAGAACTGCAGGGACTTCTTCAAGCAGTCGCCAATCAAGACTGACGTGAAGGCATTAAAAAAAACAACCAAGTAGGAGAATGTTCTAAAGTTGAGAAATGGCTTGAAGGAATTTACACGCATGCACACACACACACACACACACACACACACACACACACACACACACACACACACATCCTGGTAGAGGATCTAGAGGTCTTACGGGGCCTGTTGCAAGGAGTGACTGTTACCTGTGAGAAGCCAAAGGCCTGCAGAACGCTGCTGTTTTGCCCCATGGAAGGGAAATCGTGGTTGTGGGGATCCCCCCCCCACAATCCCACCCTTGACTTACCAGTTTGGCAGCTGCTTCCCAGGTCTGGGCAGGGACATCGAGGAACAGCTGCCCCCCCCCAAACGCCCCCTGCTGTTGCACCTGGCAAAAGCTTTCTGCTCAAATCAAGCAGAGGCTGCCAGAAAAATCCAGGCTTTAGCGTCTCCCCTCAGTCCATGACTGAAGCTGGACTTTCCCTGGAAAATTAATTCCCAGGCAATGACTGAAACAAAAGGGAATTAGAATTCAGTCCTGTTATTTCTGGGCATTTTTTTTCTGTGTTTTGCATAAGACGAGAGAGAGAGAGAGAGAGAGAGAGAGAGGGAGGGAGGGAGAGGGGGGGCCTTGGGGGTGGGGAGGGGGTTGCGTACATGTCAGGCAAATAGCAATATTGCACAGACGTCTTGTCCTTCCTTCAAGGCATTGATGGAGAACAGCCGAAAAGAGTGCAGGCAGGTTCCGGGGTTGCTGGGACACAAACGTTCAACATAGTAGTAGTAGTAGTAGTAGTAGTAGTAGTAGTAGTAGTAGTAGTAGTAGTAGTAGTAGTAGTAGTAATATAATAATAATAATAATAATAATAATAATAATAATAATAATAATAATTAATAATAATAATAATAATAATAATAACAACAACAACAATGTTGGAAGGGACCTTGGAGGTCATCTAGTCCAGTGGTTCTCAACCTGTGGGTCGGGACCCCATTTGGGCTCGATCGACCATTTCACGGGGGTCGCCAAGCAAGGCTGTCCGCCATTTTTTTTGTCCGCCATTTTTTTTGTCCGCCATTTTTTCCCCCTTTTCCGGCGGGTGCCTTACCTCCCTTGGGCTGGGCCAGCTGGTGGTCGGCCTGCTCCGTCTCTGCCGCTTGCCAGCTACGCCTCGGCTGACGCAGGGGGCGGAACCACGCATGCGCGGCGCTCTCAGGCAGGGAAAGTCCTCGACTTACGACCGGTTGGGTAGTCCTCGACTTACGACCGGTTTAGTCCTCGACTTACGACTGGTTTAGTCCTCGACTTACGACCGGTTGGGGTCGCGGCATTAAAAAGGTTGAGAACCACTGATCTAGTCCAACCCCCTGCTCAGGCAGGAAACCCTATACCATTTCGGACAAATGGCTGTCCAGTCTCTTCTTAAAAACCTCCAGTGTTGGAGCATTCACCACTTCTGGAGGCAAGGAGTTCCACTGGTTAATTGTTCTCACTGTCAGGAAGTTTCTCCTTAGTTCCAGGTTAAACTCCATAAAGGCTTGCAGGGCGAAGCTGAGATCACGGGGAGACTCGGGCGGGGTGACTGTTGCTATGTGGGAGGGTTTTGTCCGGAGAATTCATGCTCCCTGCCAGCTCCTGCCTCAAGCAGCGCAAAGGACACGCAGACTCTGCACCCGTCTTCACTGTACACACAACCACGAACTCCAATGGGCTGCATCACAGGGAGGCCAGGAGGGGGGAGCCTGGTCGGCTGGGAGGGGATCCGTTTATTGCTTTGACTGGATTTCTATAGCCTCCCATCCCAATCAGTGACCCCGGGTGGCTCACGGTTCAAAAAAATACACTACAATTAAAAGAATAAAAACATTTCAAAACCATAAAAAGCATCCAAAATAAATACACACAACAGCAGAGATTCGCGGCCGCTTAGCAACAAAACCAGGGAAGGGCTGGGGGAGAGGGGGGCTCCCACATTCGGTGCCCCAGGCTCAGAGCAGAGCCAGACGGTGGAAGGGACCCTGGACGGTTAGTGCTGCTGTAATCTCAGATCCTTTCACAAAGGGGGGGGGACCCAGCCCTGTGCTCCTCCACAGTGGAAGAGTCTCGAGGGTTCAGTGACGTAGCCCCCCACCCCCATTGACTGGAGACAAGGAGGAGCTGAACCACAGCTGGCCCAGAAGGCTTCTGTCCAAGAAGAAAAAGTGGAGTCATCTACAAGAGGGGCCCCAACCATGGCAACTTTAAGACTTGTGGACTACAACTCCCAGAATTCCTCAGCCAGCATGGAAGTTGAAGTCCACAAGCCTTAAAGTTTGCAACGTTGGGGACCCCTAATGTACAACGTACAGTGTAAAGACTATAACTGCCACTATAGGATAGAGAGGCAGAAACTAGCAGAAAAATATCTATAATAAACACTAACTAGGAAGCAGTCAGAACATCTGATGAAAAGTCCTTAATCTCCCCTCATATACGGACAGTCTCAGCCACATGGGAAAAAAGCATCCTAGACCAAGCCAAATCCAAAAATGCCAGGGAATTCCTGGAAACTTGGCATTTAGACTAATCAGGCATCACTAGATAACGTAGAGATAAACCAGATTTATAAATCAGAGACAATAGAAAGGCTAAGAAGGAAACAAAAGGCCAGAAGACCTACTTTGCAGCAGCCAGCACCCCAATAAGCAGGGATTAACACCAGACAAACACGCAGAAAACAATAATCAAGGAATCACCAAGGAGAAAACGACACCCCCACCAACACTAGCAGGGCAAGCTACTGTACATAAACAAGGAGAAAACCCCTCACTCACTGACACTGATGGTATTACTTAGCTGGGCAATGAAACGTTTGGAAGGAAACCAAGTTGAGAGAACATCAAGGACTCCACAGTTCAGCCCTGAGTGACAGAGACGGTCTCCCATAAGAAATAGGTTTTGAAAAAGTGGCCATCCAGCTCCAAACCGAATCGCCAGAATGCTCATCCCTCAAACTGTGAGAGATGGGGGAGTTTAAGGGGGGGTGGACTTCAATGTCTTTATGACCGCAGAGCTATTGCTTTACAGAGTGTTTAGCTGACTGCCCCTGGCTGCTCTGGGTCTGGTGGCAGAGCGGAAACTTGCTGAGCTAGTGCCGGGCACCCTGGCCAACTGGGCCATCTGTCACTGGAGGCCAGTGGACCAGAGCCTCTGCGCAAAGGATGCTGGGGCCGATGAGCAGCGACCCGGAGAGCATCCCGGTGGCAGCCTGAGAGGGCGGCTTCAGCACGTGGGCAAAGAGGTGCCCGGGAAGCCACTGGGCTGTGCGAGGGGCAAGTGGCAGGTCAGCGTATCCAGCAGAAGGCCTCTCTGGGCATCGGGGGTGGAAGGCCGGCCTTAAAGGGTTTGGATTTGTCTGTATGAAGCCAGTGGAAGAGGACATCCTGCCGTCTGGGGTGCAATTCCATCCGTCTGCTGATGAAACCAACTGTATCATCAGCATAGGGACGGTATGGTTGACACACATTCTGTATTGGAAGTTGTGGATACTCACTGGAGGATTTTAGGAAGAGGCTGGGCAGCCATTTGTCTGAATAGGAATAAGGTCCTCTGCTTGAGTAGGGGGTTGGACTAGGAGACCTCCAAAGTCCCTTCCAGCTCTGTTATTCTGATCCAGTCAAAGTCTCCTCCTGGGGCCTGGAGGCTGTTGGGGTCTGGAAGGAGCAATGTGGATGCAGATTACTCAAAGGAGGGATGTTAGGAATGGCTCCTGCGTTCATCAGAGGGGGACGGGCAGGTCTGGGCGTGGGCAGAGAGCTCCTGGGCTTCTCGTGGACATCCAGGCAAGGTCATTTGGGGGGAAAGGCAAGGCCTGCAAGGCACAGCTGGAGGAGATGAACAGGACATTCTCCCGTTGGCCACACGGCAGTCAGGAGAGGATGGACGGGCTGAGCACTGTTGCTGTTGGGAGAAGGAGGAGAACCTGCAGTGAAGCAGTTTCCAGTAAATCTTGGAGTGAATGAAGGCAAATCTACGTGTCCCGGAATCACATTGCAGGATCCAATCTGGGTCACCGGTCACCGGGACCGGAGGCGTTTGTCTTCTGAGCTTCCGGACGCGTGCTGAGCCCGTCCTCCCCGGGGACGGGCCCTAGCACACGTCTGGAAGCTCGGAAGACAAACACCTCTGGTCCTGGTGACCGGTGACCCAGATTGGATCCTGCAAATTTCAGGATATTCTCTCTCAGGATGTCCAAGGATGACCAGCATTCAGCAGCCTCTGTGATCAGCCCGTCCTCCTTTTCCAGAAGTGGCAGAATCCGAGAACGTAAAGATGGGATGGGCACTGGAGACTATCTAGTCCAGTGCATTTCCCAACACAGGGGTCTCCTACAATGGTCTCCCCAACCAACAGCCTTTGTTGAGTGAAGGAGGAACCGCCATTTCCGAGGCGGTCTGTTAAACAAATTTTTCCTGGCCTGTCACAAACTCTGCTTTCTTCTAACTTCAACCCACCATTTCTTATTTTGCTTTCGGAAACAATTCCGGATGATTCTCCAGATCCTTGAGGAGAGCGATCGTGGCTTCTTCCAGGCTCCTTGGCCTCCCAGTTGCTCTCTTCTGGGCAGGCTTCAGCCCATCAGTGTCCTGTCTCAAATGCAATGCCCAGAAGTGGACACTGCATCCTAGCTAAGGTTTGGCCAGTGCAGGATAGAGAGGAATTGTGGTTTCTTTTCATCTTTACATTGTACACCCACTGGAATTGCCTTTCTTGCAGCTGCACCATCCTGTTGGGCCACTGTGAGACCATCAAGTCTCCTAGGTCTCTTCCACCTGTACTTCTGCCTAGAATAGTCCCTCCCCTTCCGTACTCAGGCCTTGGTGGGTAGGACTGGGGTTTCTGACATTCACTTGGTTGCCTTCTGCTCGTTGTTCTACCTGGTCAAGATCCTCCTGTCTGTCACCACTGTCTACGTGTGAGTCTCCCCAATGTTTACATCATCTCTGAGTGTAACAGTTGTATTTTTGTGGGGTCCTCGGTGCTCCCTGAGCTTGGTGGTTTTCTTGCAAATGTTTCATTACCAAACTATCGTCAGCACTGATGATGTTCCCTAGTTGGGTCATGAAACATCAGCAAGAAAATCAACAAGCGCAGAGAGCACAAGGGCCCCCACACTCGTCGTCCTCCTCCTCCTTTCTAGCACTGATGAGATTAGCTAGTTGTGTAATGAAGTCTGCAAAAGACAACTCAGCTCAGAGAGCATCAAGGACCCCACACTCCTTCTCCTCCTCTTCCACATACACCCTCCCTTCTAACACTGAAGATGTCACCTAGTTGGGTCGTGAAATGTCTGCAAGAAAGCCACCAAGCTCAGAAAGCACCAAGGGCCCCACAGTTCAACCCTGAGCTACAAATATTCTCTTCTATCAGTTGTATTTTTTAATCCCTCTTGTTAGTGATTTGTAAAGATGATGGTCACCACAGGGGACCAATCAAAGCCCAGGATGTCCCACTGAACTCACCTCGCCACCTAATTTCTGCCCAGCTCTGTAGGGTACAGCACAGTACTTGTCTAATGGTGGTTTGTCCGGCCCACACTCGTTCTCTTTTCCACTGGAACCTCATGAAGACTTTGTCCCAAGTTTTGCTAAAGTCTAGGTCAGGGGTAGGCCACCTTGGCTCTTTTATGACTCGTGGACTTCAACTCCCAGAATTCCTGAGTCAGCTATGCTGACTCAGGAATTCTGGGAGTTGAAGTCCACGAGTCATAAAAGCCAAGGTGGCCTACCCCTGGTCTAGGTATTTATGTCCACTGCACTGCATTCCCTGTGTCAACTAAAGTGGTCGCTCTCACAAAAATAAGGCCAGATTTGTTTGTCATGATTTATTCTCGCTAAACTCGGGCTAAAGGATTTGCTAAATGCTCACAAATTGACTCTTCTGAACTTTTCTCCGGTGGTTGTTGATGTCCGGCTGAGAGGTCTGTGGTCATGGGGGTCCTTTTTCCCTGTTTTTGAGGACAGGAAAACATTGGCCCTTCTCAGGCCCTCTGGCACCTCTCCTGTCCTCCGTGACTCGCCAAAGATCACAGCCAGGAGCCCCCAGGAGGAGCCTTGCTGGCTCTTTCAAGACTGGCAGGCCCATCTGGCCTGTTCTGGGGACTGAAATCCTCCATGGGGTTATACGTCGCAGAAGCCGGGCATCCCTTGGTCAGGAAATAGGGCAGTGGTTCTCAACCTGTGGGTCGGGACCCCATTTGGGGTCGATCGAACATTTCATGGGGGTCGCCAAGCAAGGCTGTCCGCCATTTTTTTTGTCCGCCATTTTTTCCCCCTTTTCCGGCGGGTGCCTTACCTCCCTTGGGCTGGGCCAGCTGGTGGTCGGCCTGCTCCGTCTCTGCCGCTTGCCAGCTACGCCTCGGCCGGCGCAGGGGGCGGAACCACGCATGCGCGGCGCTCCCGGGCAGGGAAAGTCCTCGACTTACGACCGGTTGGGTAGTCCTCGACTTACGGCTGGTTTAGGCCTCGACTTACGACCGGTTGGGGTCGCGGCATTAAAAAGGTTGAGAACCACTGAAATAGGGGCTGCAGACCCTGCGTCGCAAGGACTTCCCAGGCGTCTGGGATCCCTCCAGATCCTCCCAACTTTGTTTATCGGCCTGTATAGCTGATTTCTCCGAGTGTCCCGGGTGGAAAGCAGGATTTGGGCCAGGCTGGCTGGCATGTTGAGTTACCAGATCGGAGCTCAGATGTTTGCCAAAGCAGAGTCCCCCCCTCTTGTGGTTTCAGCTTCGGTCTGGAGCTTTTGGGGGGGGGGGTTGGCACCCTGTGCGAGGCAGCCCTGCCTCTAGAGATTGGAGCAGGGGGTCGGTCTCTCTGCATCCGGTCCCTGGCCAGGAAGGGCCTCCAGGAAGAGGCCGGTGGGGAGGGCTGTCTTGAGCTGAGGGTCCAAGTGGACCCGGCAGAGCAGAGGCCACCAGGGAAGCTCAGCTGACCTCTCCCTGGAGCCCAGCCAGAAAGTCCTGGAAAAAGCGACACTTGTTTTGCTTCTCAGCTGGTTGGTACAAGGTGTGAATCTGTCCGTTTGAGCGATTAAACCTTGGTTTTGCTCAGAGTGCGAAGCCGCCTTCCCCGACCATTCACAGGCCGCTGTTCTCCAGGGCTCCTCTGAAGCCTCTGACCCCGGGTGGCTCGCCTGATCCACTGGGATTCTCAGGGATCTGCTGCTGAATCCTTGCTTCTGAGGCGAGGCCGCCCTTTTCCCGCGTGACGGTCCTGTGGTCGGCCTTCCCGTTTCACTCGCAGTCGTTGCGCTTCCCAACGCGGAATCCCAGCAAGCGCCAATGGGGGCTGCCGTGGGGCACAGCTGGTCCCTGGCAGTTTGCACAGTGACGGCTCAAAGCTACGACGGCACTGAAAAAAAGCAACATGGCCGTTTTTCACAGTTGCAGCATCCCGACGGTCACGTGATCAAAATTCAGACGCTTGGCAGCTGGTTCATACTTACGGACGGTCGCGGTGTCCCAGGGTCATGTGACACCCCCCCTTTCACGACCTCCTGACAAGCAAAGTCAGTGGGGAAGCCAGATTCACTTAACGACCGGGTTACTAACTTTCAACTGCAGCGATTCACTTAACAACTGCAGCCAGAAGGGTCATAAAATGGGGTAACCAGCAGAAATTTTGGGCTCAGTCGTAGTTGTAAGTCGAGGACCACCTGTAACTTTGAGGGGCAGGTTGCGTTTTTCACCCAGAGGTTTCAGTTTCCCAGGAAAGGTGTGTGTGTGTGTGTGTGTGTGAGGGAGGGAGGGAGAGAGATCCCACAATACAATAGTGTAGCTTTCATGCTGGGATGTGGAATGCAGACATGGCCACTGTTTGGGTGTTAAGGTGTTGTGGGAAGCCTTCTTGGGACAGGGATGGGGGGGGCTTGGCTTCTCTGCTTCCTCTGAGCATTGTGTGGTTTAAAGGGTCCACCTTTGGCAACTTTAAGACCCGTGGACTTCAATTCCCAGAGTTCCCCGGCCAGCTATGCTATGCTGCCTGGGAATTCTGGGAGTTGAAGTCCACAGGTCTTAAAGTTGCCAAAGCTGGACACCTCTGGGGCAAGCGTCTTCTCCCCACGCAGCAAACCAGCCTTTGCAGAAATCGTCCCCCTGCCCATAAGTGGGACCTCGTGTATCCCATGGCTCTGGAATTGGGGAACTCGGAGGTGTGAGTGCCTGGAGCCATTCCAGATGTTAGCCACCCATCTGGTGGGGGGGGAACGAGTCCTGTGAGGTGGGTGGCCTTCTCAGGTGGAGAGCCAATATCCAGGTCCCTCAGAAAGTCTCCTTGGCAGGCAGGGAAGACCCGCTGATCCTGGGCACAAGGCTAGATCAGCCGCCTCGCCACAAGTGACTGGGACGGGCACTAGGCGTTGCCCATCAGGACCCCCGCCCTCCCAAAGGCTGAAGTTTCCCAGCCCTTCTGCGTGTCTCAGGTCACCTCCTGGGTCAAACCCTCCCAGGTCAGGCAGCTGTGCAGGTTCTCCGGTTCAAGCCTGGAGTTAGAAACCCGATCTAGAAAGGTGATGTGGCCCCCACAGGTGTGCCCAAGCAAAGGGCCCCACAAGCCAGTCTGGCCTGACCTTCTGGAGAATGGGCTCATAGGGCTGCTGGCCGGGCTTGGACCCGCGAGGCTGGTGAAAGAAAACGGGGGAGGGGGGCAGCCCCCCAGCGGGCGTTCAGCACGGCGGTCTCAGTGCTCCTCTCTTCCCCTGCAGGTGATGGAAACCCCAAAGAAAGCAGCCCGTTCATCAACAGCACCGACCTGGAGAAGGGGAAGGAATACGATGGGAAGAACATGGCGCTGTTTGAGGTCAGCAGGGCGTGGGGGGGAGGGGCAGGGGACCCTCCTAGGGGCCTGGCCCACAGAAGCTTCGTCCTTCCACATGGAAAGACCCCCGGATTGCCAGAGCAGCCCATCCAGGGCTCCGCGAGGGGCATCTGCCTGGGCAGGGGAAGCTTCGGCCCCAGGAACCTGGAGGATCAGGGTGGGAGGGGCAAGGGGCTTCCCCAAGAGCGGCCCCCAGCCCTCCCCTCCCTCTGCTCCCTCAACAGGAGGAGATGGACACCAGTCCCATGGTCTCCTCCCTGCTCAGCGGCCTGGCCAACTACACAAACCTGCCCCAGGGCAGCCGAGAGCACGAAGAGGCGGAGAACAATGAAGGGGCCAAGAAGAAGCCCGTCAAGGTGCGGGCAGGTGGGGGGGGCACAGAGCAGCCAGGTGGGAGCAGAAGAGCCGCCCCCGCCCACTCCCCTCTCCTTCCTCCAGGCCTCCGATCTGGGCTGCTGGGCCTGGATGACCAGGAGGGGGCAGCTGAGCACAGCCTTCCCTCTTGCTCTCCACACTGCCCTCCAGTGGCGGTGTGGGGTTTTGCAGCCCAGCCCGATTCTTTCTCTGCTGGTAAGAGGGTGCCCAGCTTGTGGGTCCTCTCCAGTTGCCTGGTGAATGAATCCACAGGGCCGAGGCAGGAAGGCCTCTGCTGTGGGAAGGGAGGGAGCCCACCCACCCACCTTGCTTGGGGCCAGCCTCACGCCCCGTGCTCTTCCTGCAGGCCACGCGGATGGGCACCTTCATGGGCGTCTACCTGCCCTGCCTGCAGAACATCTTCGGCGTGATCCTCTTCCTCCGCCTCACCTGGGTGGTGGGCATCTCGGGCATCATGGAGTCCTTCTGCATGGTTATACTCTGCTGCTCCTGCGTGAGTCCCCCTCCGGCCGGGGGCTGCCAGCTGGGCGGGCAGGGGAGGGTCTGGCCAGATGTGCTCCTCCTGCTTGAGCCCCTGAGCACGCTGTCCAGCCCATAGCCCAGCCTGCAACCGTGATAAAGGCTTGACCCCCTCCCCATTGGCCCACAGGGAGGGTCTCAGGGGGAGGAAGTGGGCGGCCCAGTCAGACCTGGAAGGGCAGCCATGCTTGGGCCGGGCTCAGAGGCAGCTGCCTGGGCGGACGAGCCTGCCAGGAGCTGAGCCCTGATGGCCCATTCACCCCGGCTTCCATCCTACCCCCTCGGTCCTGTGGCAGCCCCCCCCCGAGAGAGTTCCCTCCCTCTTGGGCAGCCAGGCCTGGCTAGCCCAGAGCCCTGGGTGCAAATCCCCGTGGCCTCTGCAGCCCTCAGCCTGCCCTCTGCTCATGGCTGGCCAACGGATGTGCCTAGGGGCCCCTGGCTGAGGGGGGGGCTGTCTGAGGGAGTGCTTGAGCCTGGCGGTAGGGATCCCCGCCCTGCAAAGGTGGGGCTTCCATGGGCCCTGGGCTCCCAGGGAAGGTGCTTCTCCCAATGAGCATCCGGGGGGGCTTCTGGGTCCCCAGCATGAAGCCCCACCGGAAGTCCTGCAGTTGGAGGAGTGACTAGCGAGCGCCCCCCTCCCCCTACTCCTTTGGCTGGAGAATTAGCTCAAGAATTGCTTTAGGCCTCCACACACACACACACACCCCATGCCTCCTGGGTCTCTCTTTTCTCTGGGGATCAACCAAATCGTGCCCCCCCAGACCCCACCATACACACAGGGGCTGCTGGGCTCCCCCCTCCCCGCCGGTCTGGGCCCACACGGCTGCCCTCTCTCCCCACAGACCATGCTGACGGCCATCTCCATGAGCGCCATCGCCACCAACGGAGTGGTGCCAGGTGGGTAGCCGGGAGGGGCGGTGGGTGCCTGGCTGGGAGACCCGCCTGCCCCCCAAAGGGAAAGACTCGGGAGGGCTGCCCGAAGCCGTGCACAAGCAAGGATCGGGGCCGGCACAGAAGCCCCCCCCCCCGTCTTTTGTGTAAAGGTCATCTTGGATCCAAGCTCCCTCTGCATGTGACCCCCCTCCTTCTTTGGCAGCATTAATGGGGTGCACAAAGTGAGGGCCCCTCTGGGTGCTTGAGGGACCTACCTGATGGAGAGGAGGGAGGCTGCCCCAAGAGGGAGGGGTTTCCATCTCTGGGGGCAGCTTTGCCTCCTTGCCACCTGGGGAAGGGGTGCAGCTAGGGGGGATGCGTTAGTGGCCTCTGGGAGGGTCAGTGCAGGGGTCACTCCCGGTAACGGTTCACCCCCTTCCTCTCTCCAGCCGGTGGTTCCTACTACATGATCTCGCGTTCGCTGGGCCCGGAGTTCGGGGGAGCCGTGGGGCTCTGCTTTTACCTGGGCACCACCTTTGCAGGTGCCATGTACATCCTGGGCACCATAGAGATTCTGCTGGTGAGTGGAGGAGGGAGGGAGGGGGCGGGCAGGGCAGGGCAGGGCAGGGCAGGGATTCTGCCAGGGAGGGCACCTGCCTCCTGGCACAAGAAGGGGACGTGGGGAAGGTGCCCTGGGTGCCCCTGCAGCTGCCAGAAGAAAAGCAGGGCAGGAAGCTGGCACGCAAACCTTTGCCCCCCCCCCGTGCCTGCCAAGGAAAGAGAGCCAAATGCACTCACCTCCTGGAGGCTGAGCCTGTTCACACAACACGGGCAGCTCCGTTCTCAGGGGGGCAGTTTTCGGGTTGACTCAAGGAGCCCAGAGCTGGCAGGGGGAGCGCCTGGGGAGACACGGAGCCCCCCACCCCGAGCTCTTCTGCTCATCCGGTTGAGGCTTCTCAAAGCAGGATGAGGCAGACATGGGGGGGGGGACGTCGGTTTCTTTATTCATTTGCACGTCGTGCTTGCAAGCCCCCCTCCCTTGGGTGGGAGAAAGCCCGCGCCCTAACCCGGGGTCTGCACAGAAGCCCCCCGGGGAGAGGAGGGAGGCGCAGGGGGATTTCCCCCCAAATGTTCTGGATACCTGATGCGTTTTTTTTATCAGGGAAAGGAGCAAAATAGCAGAACTGGGAAACGATCGCCGCCAGTCGCTCTTACGGGTTATGTAACTCTGTAATTTGAGAGCCGACAAAAGCTTTTTCCAGACGCCGCCCCTCCCTCCCCCCCCCTCCGCTGTAGGTGAGAGGCAAGGCCGGCTCCTGGCCGCCCCTCCTGCCCCCCCCGGCGCCCCCTGCCTTGCCCGGCTCCCTTGGGGCGGACGGGGCTTGACCTGGGCAACCTGAGCAGGCCGGTTCCCTGGCTGGCACCGTCTCTGAAGTGTCGCCCCCCCCCGAACTGCTGGGGGTTGCGCCGAAAGGGAATGGGGAAGGGCTGGCTCTCTCGCTCGCTGGCAATTTATAACATCTGGAGAAAGCCACAATATTGCATGTCGGGTGGGAGAAGACCAGCACAGAAAGATCCGTTGTGACGAGAAGCAGCGACCTGGCATTTAATCCCCCCCCCCCAAATAAATATCCATACTGGGCAAAGGGAAAGGTGCAGCCCCCTCTTCACACGAGTGCTGAAAACCTGGCCGTGGGGGAAGTTGCTCTTTGAAGGGCTGTAAGGAGTCTCTCCTTTCCCCCCCCCCCTCCCGCCTCCCCTGGTGGGTGACCCTCGTGGGGCCAAAGGATGAGCAGCTGAGCGGCCTCTGTGCCGGCTTGGAAATAATAATAATAATAATAATAATAATAATAATAACAACAACAACAACAACAACAACAACAACAATAAAGTTGGAAGAGACTTTGGAGGTCATCTAGTCCAACCCCCTGCTCAGGCAGGAAACCCTATACCATTTCAGACAAATGGCTGTCCGGTCTCTTCTTAAAAACCTCTAATCTTGGAGCATTCACTGCTTCTGGAGGCAGGTTGTTCCATTGGTTAATTGTTCTAACTGTCAGGAAGTTTCTCCTTAGTTCTAAGTTGCTTCTCTCCTTGATCAGTTTCCATCCATTGCTTCTCATCCTGCCTTCAGGCGCTTTGGAGAATAGCTTGACTCCCTCTTCTTTGGGGCAGTCCCTGAAATATTGGAAGGCTGCTATCATGTCCTCCCTCGTCCTTCTCTTCGTTAAACTTCCGGATATGACCCGGAAGACCCAGAAAGTCTTGTGGGGAGCCTCGCGGGTCAAAAGGGAAGGGTGTGGAGGGCCCCGAGGCCCTCCGCTGGGGAAGGAGGAGCCCTGAGACCCACTTCCTGCCTCCCCTCAGGCCTACATCTTCCCCCCGATGGCCATCTTCAAGGCCGAGGACGCCAGTGGGGAAGCGGCCGCCCTGCTGAACAACATGAGGGTCTACGGGACGTGTGTCCTCACCTGCATGGCTACCGTGGTCTTCGTGGGCGTCAAGTACGTGAACAAGTTTGCCCTGGTCTTCCTGGGCTGCGTCATCCTTTCCATCCTGGCCATCTACGCGGGGGTCATCAAGTCCGCCTTCGACCCCCCCTCCTTTCCGTAAGTGCCTGGCTGGTTGGGGGGGGAGGCTGGGGTCTCTTGGCTCTCTCCTGGGATGGTTGCAAAGGCCGGAGATGGACGGACCGTCTGCCCGGCGGTTTGTCCAGGAGGACTTAGCCTTCTTCCGCCCTCCTTGCCTTCGTCTCAATCACTGTTGCCCATCGCCCGGCTTCCCCGTGTCCTGCGAGGTGCCCGAGGGAAGGCCGGAGCACAGCAACTGGCATCTCCAGCGGGCACCAGCTGGTGGGAGCAATGGCTGCACCCCGAGGGGTTTGAAAATGCCTCCGGCTGCTTCCTGCGAGATTCCTTCACCCTCCTTCAAAATGTAGCGCTGAGTACGGCAGCTGTGCCCAGGTGGGCTCTGAGGGGCAGGCCCTGGAGGAAGGAGCTCGAGGCGATCCAGAAGGGCACAGTTAGACTTGGCTGGTTAGATGAAAGTTGGTCTCTGGGCACGTTCAGCTTTAATTTGCCCAAAGCAAAAGCCTCTCTGGGTAAGGAAAGAGGAGGACGGGCTACGCAAAGCCCACTCTGGGGAATCAGTGGTAGGACCAGGACGACGGGCATCATAACCATTACTAGCTGGTGCTTCGGGTGGCTTCAATCCAAGGGCTCTTCCCCCCCCCCCGGACACCTGGAAAGGGGGGGGCCCAGGGAGAGTGTGTAGGGCCGGCCTTTTGAGCCCTTTTCACGTTAGATGAGAACGGCAGGCAGGTGTCCGAACACGGAAAGTCACATGGACCACGTCCTGTTTTGATGCCACAGATGTGCAGTAAAATGCATTAATGGACGTATGGAAAGAGACAAAAAGGAAAGTGGTTGTGGTGGTCACAGAAGTGCATGGAGGGAGATTCTCGTTGAAGTGTGGGTGTCCAGGGATGGGGGAGCAGTGCCTGAGAACGGAGCAGAACTGCCCAAAGGGAGGACCAGCCAGGGGGCCCCTGCAGCGCGAACAGGGATGGAGAGGATGCCGTCAGAGAGAGCGAGGACTGGCTAAGACCGGAGTTAATGCAGAGAAAATGCAGGGCAGCGTTGATGGAAATGAAAGGTGGCACCGAATTAGAGCACAAGGCGCCTCCGGTGAAGAGCATGGAATTAAAAATAAAAGTGTCGGGGGGGGATGAAACGGAAGTGAGGGAGGCGTTAGTTGGAGATTTGGGGAATGAGAGTGACAGCGATAGCGCAGACAGGAACCAAAGTGACTGTTCCAAAGTGGTGCCTAAGGGGGAAAAAATGGAGGAAGTCATAAGTGGTGCCAGAATGCTAAAAAGATGTAAGATAAAGGTGGTGTAACTGGAAAAATGCTAAATTATGGACGTGCTTGGCTTAGGGAAGGAGGCTGAATTGGAAGCAGGCCGTTATTGCTCCCCTGTGCAAGAAGGGAAATGGGGCAAGGGGGAATTTGGGATCGGAAGGGCAACAGCTGGGTCCGGGAGGGTCTGCGAAGGGGCTTCCCACAGTTCACGCTGAACAGGTTCAAAAGGCGACAATTAGCAGACCATGTTTTTGCTCTCTACCACGTCATTAAGGAATGCAGCAATGTGGGAGGGAAAGTTTACTGCATGTTTAAGAATTTTAGAAAAAGGGTGCAGTTTGAGTCAATAGGCTTGACTTAGAAAATGTTAAACATGAATAGTTAATAGCCGATTGCTGAATGCACCCAGCAGAAGGGAAGTAAAATTGAGCGAGAAGATGGGATGCTTAGCTGAAGGTTCAGCACCGAGTAAGAACGAGACAAGGATGTGTGATGATGATGCCCCAGTTTAATCTTTTATGAATGGATGCATAAGAAACTTGTGACATTAAAGGCCTCTTGATCGGGGATGTGAGCAGACAGACGTGCGGATGACTCTCTGTTGCTGATTAAAAACTCAAAGGATTTGCCCCAAATTGTGTGTTGCAGTGAGGGTTGAGAATCTGAAAATCAATATACAGTAGCAAGAGGAAGGCTGTTGTGTTGGATGAGGAAATAGGAGCAGAGAATTGTAATTTAGACAGCAATTGTGAAAAAAATAAATGGGGGTGTTTTGGTGGAGTGCTTGTAAAGGGTCAGAAGCGGATGGAGAAGTTGTAAGGTGTGCAGATGCCGGTTGGAAGGAGACGTTCGTGGTCTGTGATGAGGAAGGAAACTTGGTTGAAAAGAGAATCCAGGGGTGCAAAAGAGCCTACCCTGGTTACAGGGAAATTGACAGCTGAAAGTGAAGTCAATTGACTGCCAGGGAAGCGCTTAAAAAACAGGGGTGGCAAAAGGGATCAGGCTGAGAATTAGCGGGGCTGAACCGAGGCGGACTGAACGCGGGAGGAGGGTCTGTCCATCAGGAAGAAGCCCCTGGAGGTGCTTTGGCCATCTAGAGCAGGGGTCCCCAACCAGTGGACCAGTACTGGGCCGCAGCATGCCAGCAACCGATCAGCACAAACAAGCAAAGCCCCATCCACAGGACGCAGGCAGCACACAAAACCACGCACCCTCCTGTCCGTGGAAAAAAACCTCTCACCATGTAACCGGTCCCTGGTGCCCAAAAGGTTGTGGGGGTCTCTGGACTAGAGAGAGCAAATGAGCAGCACTGAAGGGTCTGGGACAGCCGTCCCCAGCCTGTATGGCTTGACCACCCGGGGGGGGGAGGGGAACTGGCCGGGCAAGCAGGGGGGGCTGGTGCGTGACTGTGCCAGCCCGCTGTTCACGCGGTCCACTTCCAAACTGGCCACGGCCTGGTAGTGGACTGTGGCCCAGGGTTCAGGGACCTCTGGTCTAGGACAACTCGCCACGGAACAATTCGACAGTATATTAATCATTTCATTCCGCTACTTTTATTATTGGTGACCCTGTTTTTGTCGAAATTATTGTAACTCTTGCATTTCTGTTGACTTTATTTTAATATTATTGGCCACAATTCCATCGAAATTAATTTAACGTTTGTATTTGTTGAATTGTCCTGGGGCGAATTTTCCCTTGGAAATTTGGCTGGGGCGAGGGAGGGGTCCCACCCTGGCACCGAGTGGGAGACTGGTTGGTGAAGCTGCAGGGAGGGAGGGAGGGAGGGAGGGAGGAGGAGACAGCTGGGGTTTGATCGGATCCTGCCCAAGAGAGGAGGGAGATCCGAGAGAGGAAAGGCAGAGGGCGAAGTTCTCTCTGCACGTGCCCAGAGGCTGTAAGGACCGAAAGGCGATGGAGAGGCGTAGAGAGGAGCTGCCCTAAACTGGATCCTCTCTGGTGCTTTCCTTCTCTCTTCCTCCTGTTTACTTGGGTCCTCCCTTGCCCCAAGGGAGGGAAGGGGGCGAGGGGCAGCAGGAACGTCGGCCCCATCTTCCCACCGAGGGGCCCCAGGGCCAGAGTGCAGTTGGGGGCCTAGAGACTTAGAGGAGTTGAGGAGAGGCTGGATGGCACAAGGGGATCCCACCCGCCTGCCAGGCCATCTCTCCACTGGGCTGTTGTGTGTGTGTGTGTTGGGGGGGGCAGAGAGCCCTCCCGGGAGAAGCAGAGTGCAACACACCCCTTAGAGTCTGAGGCCCCAGCTGGCTGCCTGGAAATGTCCCATTGCAAAGGCTGTCACTGCCTGAGATGGGGAGGGAAAGGGGGTGGAACCGGGGGGGGGGCTTGCCCGGCCCAGTTGAGGAGCCGGTCAGCAGCCCTCAGCCTCCCTTCGGCTCGTGTGTTTTGGCCAGGATTTGCCTCTTGGGCAACCGGACTCTGTCCCGCCACGGCTTTGACGTGTGTACCAAGGTGGTCCAGGTGGGCAACGAGACGATGGGCTCGGAGCTGTGGGCGCTCTTCTGCTCCTCCCGCTTGCTGAATGCCACCTGCGACGAGTATTTCAGCCAGAACAACGTCACGGAGATTCAGGGCATCCCTGGAGCGGCTTCCGGTCTCATCCAAGGTACAAGGAGCCTCTTACGGGGGGGGGGGTTTGACCCTCGTGGGTTTGGGGTCTCCTGATTCATGGGGGGGGGGGAATGCCACCTGGGCCCTCTTCTTG